GGCTAGGTGGAAAATAGATCAAAAAATTGGTTTTATTCAAGTTGAGGACTCTCTGTAAACCGCTTAGAGAGGCCTGAAAGGCCTATGAAGCGGTATATAAGTCTACTGCTATTGCTATTGCTATTGCTATTGCTACAGAGATAACTTTTATTAATTTGTTCTCTCTCACTTTTTTTTTGCTTTTAATATCAATTTTACTCACAATAAAATTTCATGCACAGGAAATTTCTTAGCATAATTGATCTATGTAATTACCATTTCAAGTAATTAAATAGTAATGCAACAATGGTAATAATATAATCACCTGATTATATAGAATTAATCCAAGAGGATTAGGAATAATTTGAACATTTGTGTGTGTATAACAATGCTAAAAACAAATCATGCATTCATTTGTTGAATCAATAGTATTTCAAATTAAGATCATTTTCCAGAACACTGATATTAAAAATGTCTTTTCTTTTATCAATTTAAAGCAACAACAATGTTATGACAGTGTGAGTAAATTACCGGATACTTCCAATGAATGAAAGCAATAATAATTACCTATTTTTTTAAAAAATATGATTGGTTACAATCCTGGAGCAAAAATGTTTTTTTAACATTTTGGAACTTTACAAAATAAAAATAAAAAATCTATGTAAAAGCATCTTTTACTTAATATATTAAGAAATTCTAAGTTGTATGTAAAGAAGCTTTACTTAGATTTTCAATAACCTTAGATTTGCATAAAAACTGCATTTCAAATCATATTTTTTTTTGTTTAAGTGAAATAAGTTATTCAGCTCGCTAAAAAGCTTCTGAAGAGCTTATTACCTTTGCAGATGTTTTGGCTAAAATATCCTGCAACTCCATTATTTTCTGCACAAGACCATGGAAGTCATTACACGTTGGGCATGCTGAAATGACAAACACTGCATTGATCCCATTGCACTTACTTGCAACAAAAATTTGCAATCTAATATATCATAAGGAAGTTGACTGAACTTAATACAAATAGCAACTCTAAAGACATTCATAAGATTGTCCTTTCAATCTACCAAGTTGCATTGAAGAGCAATACATTTTAACAACCAATCTTCGTGTATAAAAAAATTAAACAATCCATCATATGGGATATTGTGGCATAAAAACTAGAGGACTTACTGCGATTAAGGTCTGGGCACTGAGAGATAAATCCTTGAGGCATGATAAGAAATTGCACATCTTGCATTATGCCCTGTAGCAAAGTGATACAAGAAAGTTTATATTCCTGGCAATATAATATCTCAAAAATATTCTATATAAAACTGTCACAGTTTTAATATACTTTTTTGCACCCTCCTGTAAACAAAATCACAGTTTCTATGAAATCATTTATCTATTTTATTTACTGTAGCATTAGAGGTAGCAATGCATACACATACCAATACATTCAACCATTTTCTGAGATTTATGATTAAATATCAAGGTGTAATTAATTAGAAAGAGACTGCTTGCTGTGAATCCACTTTTATTTAGTTGCCAAGGGTTTCAAGAGACTTTAAAAGCAATTTAGACATAATATGGCATTTAACTGAATTTTGAGCCATTCATTAAAATAAAATATGGCAATATAAGACATAACTACTGTAGGAAATTTGCACCCACCCCTCTCCTAGAAGAATGAAATATTCTAGGAAATATTAAAAAGGCAATAGCAGTCGACTTAGCAGTCGACTTATATACCGCTTCATAGGCCTTTCAGGCCTCTCTAAGCGGTTTACAGAGAGTCAGCATATTGCCCCCAACAATCTGGGTCCTCATTTTNTACTAATGAAACAGCATAATGAAATAAGAGAAAGTGTGGCAGGCCAAAATTCTAAAAGGAATATAATTGCAGGCCTGACAGAGACATCTGGCCCACAGGCCGCGAGTTTGACATTTCTAAGTTGGACTTTTCCCAACCTACTCCCACTCCAAGGAAAGCGATGGACATATGGAGCTGAAAGCTAACTCCTCAGCTCAAGCACTGCCTGTGGCTCTTAGCACAATTTCTTTGAAAGCAGTAGCAATTTTACTCCTGCATGTTAGCCACAACAAGTCAGCAGGTGCTTGTTTCAGCCGAGATGAATATTCCTTTCTGGCATGGAAGGTAGGAGCTGTTGTTGTTTATGTCTCTTTGTATGTATGACACACTGTTGGGTTTCCGTGCAGTTGGCCTTCCAGAATAAGTTTTTTCAAGCATTCCTACTATGGAAATTTCACTGGAATGGGGGCAGAGATTCCAAATTATGCCTAGCCATTGAATTTTGAAATTTACATGCCATCTATTTGCATCCTTAAATGAATTCCTAGGACTTAGAAGAGAAAGTTGATACGCTTTTACCAACAGACATTTCTCCCTGTGTATAATCAAACCATATACTTCGGAGAATGGGAAATAACCTATTTTGTGGCGGGGTGCGGGGTGTCGGTTAGACAAATGGTAATGTTATCTGTGTTGATGCACCAGCTGCATTTCACCTGGTGTCATGCTAAACTTTGTTGGAATGTTACTTTCAATTTTGGAGAAGGAAATAGCAACAGCATTTAGACTTATATACCGCTTCGAAGTGCTTTCACAGCCCTCTCTAAGCGGTTTACAGAGTCAGCCTATTTCCCCCAACAATCTGGGCCCTCATTTTACCCACCCTGGAAGGATGGAAGACTACCTTGAGCTTGGTGAGATTCGAACTACCAAATTGCAGACAGCCAGCGGCAGTCAGCAGATGTAGCCTGCAGTACTGCATTCTAACCACTGTGTCCAGAGATTGATTCTTACTGGTTCAGATCGGTTTGGCCAAGTAGGTAGTAACTCGGCCTGCCTTCCCCCCGAACCGGTTCTCTTGGCGGCGCCTATGGTGGCACCATCTTGTTTTTTGCTTCTCTGCATGCGCGGAAGCAGTTTCTTCAGTACTGTGTATGTGGGCATAGTGCGCATCAAGCATGCACACAGCATGTTCCTGAGCAAACCAGCAGTAGCAGGAGCCATAACCCACCCCTGACTGTGCCACCATGGCTCTTCAACTTTCAAAAGATACTTCAATCTTTGTGGGGTTTATTTTGTTTTTAACCAACAATATAGGAACCCTTTGTGTTCTGACCCCCCCTCTTCACACANTAATTAAATGAAAATTGCGGTACAGTGATAGTGAAATACATAAATTCTAAAATGTACAACTCAACGTGAATGAAATATATGTAATGATCGTGGAAGAAACTCACGAAATGTGCTTGTAACCAATTGACACGCTTTCTACAAGATGTAATGAAAGATGATTCTTTTTGTGTGTGTGTGGTTTTCTTTAATAAAAACAATAAAAACTTTTTTTTAAAAAAAAGAAACACATACTGTGTAGACCTAAAACTACTTTTATTAGAACAGTTATAGTAACATCTTTTTCTTTAATCTTCACATAAATTGGGGTGGGATGGGAGCTTCTAAAGTGTTTTCATAAATCATGTTCTTGGTCTGGGTTCAAGCTACGTTTATCTTAACATTGCCCTGGTAAGAGATCTTCCCTCTGTCTTTCAATACCATCCTCTGTATTTACTATAACCTCTCCAGTCAAGTTTTGTGTTTGGAGTAGGGGAGGTGGCAATTGTTTACTAAGAGGTGGACAAATATGAGGCTTGGTACATGACAATGGGTCAGTCACAGGGACAAGCTTGTTATGCTGCTGTAGAAGCCATCTCCCTCACCAAGCTGCTCAATGCAGTGTCATTGTAGGTAGATTCACTCATACTATTAATACTGAATGATTTATATCTTCTTTTGAACACTTCATTTTTAAAGCCCCTAGAATCCAGATGATTTCAAAAGTTTTAAAGGTATATGTACTATATATTTTATATGTACATAAATACAATTATGTCCATGGGGTCACGATGGGTCGACACGACTTCACAACTAACAACAACAAATACAATTTAGGCGAACTAATGCTCTTTTGCTTTTTCAGATCACTATACCTGTCAATCCTAGCCAGTTGGCAAGAGATAACTTACATGGTAGAACTGAGCTTCTGAAGCTCATCAAACTGAGGAAAGCTGACCCAAGATGTCAAATTTCATCCTTTTGTAGACCATCCCCATTCATGTCTCTTTTAAAACCTTTTAATGGAAGGTTTGGGCTTCTCTGAAATATATTTGTTGGGGGATTGCTTTGATTTATGTGTCATGGCATATATATCATCGGGGAATAATCAATCATTCCAGTAGAGGGTACCAAATTGCACGTGTGATTTATGAAGTGATTATGAAGTGATTCTCATATATGAATCTCCTTCTTCTCCTGCCTAGAAGCAGTTCCTGACTTGAAGCCCCCAAAGGAATCAGGATGGTCTCATCTTGAGGTCATCCCCATCTATCCCTTGCATGCCATAACAGCTCATTTTAGAGTAATTGAACGGTTTGCCATTGAAAATATGATGGAACGCTGCATAGAAAGCTGCTTTGACTTGAAGGATTAAGTATCAAAGTTCACTTTCAGATTATCTAACACATTGACCTTAAGTTAATATGAATAAGTAACATAGAAGAGTAGAATAATAAGCAGTGAGATATAATTCATCATTGTAAAGTATGTTTAAATTGTCAGTGAATAAACACATATTATGGATGTGTGGGTGGACAGAAGTAAGGAATAGTTACTTGGAAATAGTAACTTCAACTCTGCAAATCCTAACTTATCTTAAATGTGACTTAGTGTACAGTAAGGTCCATTTATGTAACAATTAGGCTTAATACTTAATTATCACTCTTATACCGATAAGATATATTTCTGCTTTATTGCTTGAATATACTAGACTACCTTTTTAAATCTTTGGGAGATTCAAGGTGTTTTTAAAATTAAATGTTATCATTTGAAGACATGTGTATAGTTTTATAGCTCATATTTCATATTACATAACCAGTCACAAATGGGTACCTAGCTTGATCATTTCTGAAATGTTGATACAATTCTACTTTATTATTGATTTTAAAATGTCTAAGTAACCATGGCAGTAATGCTTTCAAAACTGCTAATTAGGGTCTACAGATCTAAGGACTGTAGCAATCCCTTAGAGTCCTATCCTGTTTATTCCTTGCTGATTTACTGTAGCCCCAATTAGGCTGCTGAATTAGTTTTGTTGCATCTTCTACGCCAGGGTGTCAAACTCATGTTCTCACATGATATATCACAACTTTTCCCCCTTTCGCTAAACCAGGGGTGGGCGTGGCCAGTGCATGACGCTGTCAGCGTTCCAAGTATCATGTAGAATTAAATCAGAGTCCCAGGCAAAACTATCCTTAAAGTTCCAATTTAATAAANAGCCGGTGAGATTTGAACAGCCGAACTGCAGAACTGCAGTCAGCTGAAGTAGCCTGCAGTGCTGCATTTAACCACTGCGCCACCTTGGCTCTCTTTCACCGGAACTGGGGCGAACCGGCAGAATACCACCTCTGATTCAGAGATATCCAGTACGTTCTAATAGAAATCAAGTCCTGTGACCATCGTTGCAACCCTATTCACGCCTGCAGCACACACGCACCCTATTGCTCATGGCCGGCTGCCATACCCAGCCAGGAGAATGGCATGCTGCGCCGGAGGGATGGCATCGCAATGGAGTTGCTCAGAAGGCAGTCTCTAAGGTCCTTTGATTGGGGGAGGAAGACGGGGGAACCATAAAGGGACCACTGCGAAAGGAGGCAGACAAATTTGGCTTCTCTCTGCCGCAGCATTCAACATGGCTGCTTTTCTCCTCCTTCTTTGGCCCATGTCATGAGAAGGAGGTGAGAAGCAGCCAGGTTGAACGCCTGAAGACCTGGCCGAACTTTTCTGTGCGTTCTGTGGGCATGGTTTGGGTGGGCGTGGCTTGGTGAGGTGGCGCTGCCCCACTTTGCTGTGAGTGATGTCAAGTTGGCCATGCCCACTTGGTCACATGACCCACCACCACCACCACCAAGTCACACCTCGCAGGCCATGCCCACTGAATTGGTAAGGACAAATTTTGAAACCCACCACTCCCCAGTACACTCTAATAGAAAACTCTGGCATGAACATGAGAGATTATAGCAAACAAGTTTTGTTCTCCTTCAAGCCTTGACCCACATCATAAATTTCTTAACTTGCTTAAGAGAGACCGGGCTAAATACCATGAGGGTTGTACAAAATAATTCAACTTTTGAGTCTTCTGATCTCAGAACAACAGGCATGGCATGTTTTCAATGTTCCAA